CAGGTAACAGTGCTCAGAGATTTTAATTCAATACAGGTTTATTTATATAGCGCCAAATCACAACAATGGTTACCTAAAGGCTCTTTATACAGCGGGGTAAAGAGTTTGCAGTATTTGGGAGAAAAGCCCAACAGTCAGAAGAAAAGAAAAAGGACAACATGGGAGACAAGATAGAAGAAACTATGGGAGAGAGAAGACACATGTTCAGGATATGCTGCAGTGGTATATGAACATCTGTCGATGCATTAGTGGAAATCCTGTTCAAGTCTAAAGAACAACAAGTCAGCATTCATTCTGAGAGTGAAGTGCTCTGTTAGGCTAATGTGACACTGTAAGATATAATAGGGTCTTATCTTTGTATGGGAGGAAACTTAAATTTAACTGAGAACCAATAAAGAAAAGTGAGTGTGGGAGAAATATGGTCTCTGTTTCTTGTGCCTGTCAGCACTCTGGCTACAGCACTTTGGACTCACCAAAGGCTTCTGTAGGATATTTTAGAACAACCTGATAAAAATGAATTATAGCTACTGTTGAAGAAATGAATGCACCAACTAGTTTTTCAGCATCACTCTGAGATGGCTTTTTTTATTTCAGAGATATTTTACTGTTGAAGAAAGCAATGCTACATGTTTGTTTAATATACACGTTCAAGGATCTGATCACAAATGACTCCATGATTTTATACACTGTTACTGGAGGCTGTCACGCCATCCTGAGTATAAGTATCTCATTAGGCAACATGTTTTTATGATTTTTACAGCCAAATATAGTCTGAATAACTCTACTGCTCTCTTTTAGTGGCTTAGTGGTGTAAATACAGCTGCATTAAAAGTGTGTGGGACGTAGCCTGTTAGTAAATCGATCGTCCTTGACGTAGTCGCATTAATGTGTGATGAAACCTCTCTTGATGGGCTTGCAGGGATTCTATACGAACATGTCGATGCGTAAGAAATTATTGAAGTCTGTTTGGAAAGGTTGGTTTTAACATCAGCAGTTACTAAAGTTGCTGTATTTAATGCGTATGTCTGTGCTATGGATGTAAATGTTTCTTTCTTTAATGGTAAAAAAAATTATTTGTAAATACATTAATTACTTGTTTAAGTTGAAGGAATATTCAGCTCAGCAGAGCTGTGTTTGTTAGCCTGCCTACATTAATGCCAAGAAACCTGTTCTTATTTTCTTTAATCGGTGATAAATGTTGAGATCACCTAGTTCATGAAGAGCATTTTTATAGACCAACAAATGATTGGTTTCCAGGCCAAATGAAGATTTGCTCGCAAACTTCCAACTACTTCGAGCAGCACATTTGAGTTATGCCAGAGAAGTTGTTGCCTTCGTTTTTTTAGAGGAACATCAGTGTCCAAGGTCGTCCACAGTGAGGCTGGAACTGTATTAAGAGATAATTGACCTCTATGAAAATCAGGTTTTGGTAGCTGTTCTGCATTGAGTTGCTGTATGAAGAGAGCACTTCTCTAAATTATTTAGACCACTTTCAGAAAAACATCTTGTCTACTGAAATTGTTTTCCTAGTGCTGTGTAGTCCATTATTAGAATATTAAATGTTTAATAATAAATGTGTAGAATAGGGCTGCCACAAAC